GCAACTGAAAACTATTAGAACTGACACACACACACAAAAGTATTTTTATTAATATTTCTGCGTTTTTTTAAGCAACTGCAAAAAAAAACCTGTTCTTGACTATTAGAACTGATACACACACAAAAAAAGTATTTTTATTCATATTTCTGTGCTTTTTTTTCAAGAAGACTTGCAGGAAAGGTCACATCTGTAGCCCTGGATATGTCTGCATGTGGGTCTCTCCTCCGTGTTCAACAACGTACAACTTAGCGCCTCAAGCTTGCACTCAGTCACTGCGTTTATGGAGGTGACACAGGGTTCAGAGACTGGATGGAGAATGCACACCCCACAACAACAGCAGATGTACATTCAAAAATGAATGTACATGTGGAAAATCCCTTTTGATGGATGTGGATGAAGTAGGTGTTAACTCTCATGTTTAATGGTACGATCCACCACACGTGTGCTGTAAGACCTAGGGACATAAATCGCAAAATTGCTGATTGAAAGACTTTATGGACATTGACAAGTCTGCTCCCCTTTCCAAGAGACTCAGCATTGATTACCAGCTAATTATAAATGAAGGAAGTGGCAGCTTGTTTGTTTCTAGGGTTGCAGTGGAATACATTTACACTTCTTCAGGAGATCATGTGATATCGGGTGAGAATTCCACAGAGCACTAAGTGCTATCTTCTCCGCTCTCTTTTTCTTCTTCACTCTAGTTGTCTGTCTCTCTCTCTACACCTTTTAATTCTGCCGCCTTTCCTCGCCGTTCCAACGACCCCCCTGTCCGTGTTCACAGCCCCTGTAGGTGGTGCCTCCCAAAAGCCTTCTTTCACACCCAAAGTGGGGTTTCAAATAAGCATATGTTGCGTTAATTAGGTCCTGACAGGAAGGCCTACTGTAAGGGCTGACTTGAAGAAACATATGTTGCTAAGTCTCTCTAATCAGAGCTGTTCACACAGTGATTATTAGACATGTTGTACTCATGTCCTCATCCAGCTCCCCATATTCACCCACAATGAACACCAGCCAAATACTGTATTCTCTTTGGAGTTCATGATAAAATCACATGTTAATTAGAGTTTCACCATCTGAAAGTGTAATAGAGTGCTGTACAATATTGCTAATGGGTAGACATGGAAATAAAAAAATTTCAACAAGATTTAAGCTAAAATGTACATATTTGTGCGAATTTTTAGATTAGTGCTATCAAACGATTAATCGCGATTAATCGCATCCAAAATAAAAGTTTTTGTTTACATAATATATGTGTGTGTACTGTGTATATTTATGATGTATGTATAAATACACACATGCATGTATATATTTGAGAAAAATATGTTTTATATATAAAATATTAATATTTATATATAAAATCATTTTAAAATATATACATGTATGTTTGTGTATTTATATATACCATAATAAAATACACAGTACACACACATATATTTTGTAAACAAAAACTTTTATTTTGGATGTGATTAATTGCGAATAATCATTTGACAGCACTATTTTAGATGTTGTAACTGGTCACCATTCAACTTTTTGATTTTACTAGTTAATTTAAATAATCCTGTGGTGTAACAAAATGAATTTTTAAAATGAAAAATATTTAATAAAATATTTTCCTAAAAATAGAAGAAATAGTAATTATAGTATATTTTTAAATGCTCTTTATAGTCGTTTTAGATTAGCATGTCAAACAATAGGACAGTTTTGACACATTGTTTCCCATATGCTAGCATACACAGAAGTAAAACTTTAACTGATTTTATGTTTATTAATAGGAAAATTCCTCTTTCTATTTTGTGGATGTATCATACTGCAGGGCCAAAAGTGTTTAAACATAAATATTACAAAACTAACTAGTAGTAGGATGTAAAGCTCAAGCTTGAACATCTGACTTACTTCATGTTGGGGTCTTGATGAGCAACTTTTTCAAGGATCACCAAGAGATTGCCGATTTAGAAATGGATGTTGTGAGTAACTCCACAAGTCTTAATAATTTGTAACAAAGCTGAATTTTACATTTATTCAGCAATATGAAATTCCATGAATTTTAGAAAATAGGCCAAAAATAGATCATGCTAATATATTTAAATAGTTTTATTCACATTTGTCATTTTGATACAGTGTTCATAATGGATAATTTACAAATTTTAATTACAATTTCTGAAGAACAATTAGAATAGATCATAAGTATTTGTTTTAATGAATTAGAGTAAAGTCCAAAATGAAGTAAATAGGAAAAGGAAGTGAGACTTGACATTTTAAAAGCGCTGTTTTGACAACATGGGTACCGCATATCATGACTGATGGAGTGCAGGCACAGTCTGGGTCCATCAAAGCATTAGGCGCGCTCAAGTTTCTGCGGGGCCTCCGACTGGGCCCTATGTCCTCCTCTCCCCTCCGTAACACTGAGACAAGAGTCATACTTTTGTGGAAAGAGAGAGCACAGATAGAAACTATCACAGTTGCATATAGCCGAAGGTATATTGCTTAACAGATCATCGTTACTGATGGAAAATCTCAAATGTATAGATAAAACATTAGCACAGGATGAGTCAGAATTACACCTCTCAACACTAATCCACCACATGAAAACTCTCAAGCCCCGAAACTGCAGGAAGAAGAAGTGTGATCAAGAAATCCAGCAGTCTTGCACATCACTCTCTGATTTATCTTCAACTGAAAAGACATGATTTTAGGAGAGCTTTGCTTTCAAAACCAAACATATCTCCCCAAATCTAAAATGAAAAATGAAGTCGGATCCTGGTCATATCATTCACATCACACATCTGTCACTCTGACCACAGATGTGAATATGACCTCATAAAAATCTTCGCAGCTATCATTTACGTCTTATTCAAAAGATAATAGTGTTACTGAGGGAACACCAACACAATATTCAGGAAAGAAGAACTGAATAATTTGATTGTCATATCCTCTCATGTTATTGCTACAATAAAAGTACAACTTTTACATATAGCGCTACATACAGAAACTGCTCTAAAGATGAGTTGTGCTAATATAAATTCCCTCCTCCCACACACTGTGAACAGAGAACTGCCATACACCTGTGACAACTGATCCAACTAGATTTGAGAATGCGTGGCGTTCAAAGCCACTGCATAAATGCTTAAAAGACCACCAGGCAGCGTGCTGTGTGTGTAGTGTGATTTGTTTAATTGTTGATACAGTAGATGAGGGATGTCTGTGCATACCATTTGTATTCTGTATGGCAGTGGTGAACATTGCCTGCGGGAGATCAGCTTAACTAAAGCCTAAAAGGTGCCTGTCACCCCCACAGGGCAGGTGAAGAGTATAACGCCCCGGCCTTGTGGACGTGTCACTGGGGACAATACGCTATCATCCAGAGTGTCAACACCAATGAGCTCAGCTGGTGACCTTGTGAGTTCACCTTGCTAGGAGAGACACAATCGTGTCATACCTGCACTGGGGGGACACTGAGTGTGTGTGTGTGTGTGTTGGTTATGCAGCTGCTTTGGCCCGGGTGAATGATCAACCCATGTGTGCATGAGAGATATGAGAGCCTGTGTGTGTGTGTACGCGCTGGGGGGGGACGCACTGTGTGTGTGTGTGTGTGTGTGTGTGTGTGTGTGTGTGTGTGTGTCTGTGTGTGTGTGTGTGTAGGTGTAATGTTTTTTTGTATGTTGGCGGATATGGGGTATTGTGATTTTCTTTTAGTAATTTAACACTTTGTACTATTTTGTGCAAAAGATGTGTACAGTCTATACAAATTACTTAAATGCAACTGAACTATAATAAAATGAAAAGAAGACAGAGTTTTCCATCCAAGACTTAACTGTCACAAGACTCATGTTTGGATGTTACAACAAAGTGAAGAAACTAAAACATTACTAAATTGTAAAAATAAATGTTCATACAGTAAAAAATTATATTAAATTTGATAAGACAGTACGTATAATTTATTATTTTTTTATTAAGTATTTTAAAAGTAGCAGAAAGAAAATATAACACAATGAAGGCACTACATATTCTTTGAAATTATGCTTTTTAAGTAAAAATCATTGTCTTGTGAAAGAGGAATTCCCACAGTCCCCTGTACAAACAATATCATTTTAGATTCTGTTTAAAAAGTCACTTTCTTATTTTTGTATGTACACTATTTGAAGTTGCTGCTTTCTACATTATTTACATTGTATTATTTTAGTGTCATGTGTGTTACCCATGTGGTCTTTTGTGTTCATCTTTATGTTATTGCTAGTTGTTGGAAAGTTGTTGCCAGCTCTTGGAAAAAGTGCTTATAGTGAACTTTAAGGCATTATATGTGTACAGTTACTAAAATGCCATCCAATACTGCTGGTAACATCATCATGTAACATCATTTTGTACAAGTACAACAGAATGGTTAATAAAAATAAATAAATAAATACATTTAAAAAATCAGTGCCCTTAATTACATTAATGTAATATTTAATCTGTAAAACTTCAATAAAGATGCTCTTATAGTGGAGGGGGGGGAAATCCTGTGTGCTTGAGTGAGAATGAATGTCATAAACGTAAGTTTCAAAAACAAAAATATCTATTTAAAATAAGTGGAAAAAGACTTACTCACTGAGATTTGTATTGCATTATGTCTTCCAAATATTATTCATCAACACCTGCAAACACATCTAATGAGTTAAATGAATTTAGTGTTAATTTAACAGTATTTTTTTTTATTTAGTTGAAAGCCAATTGTTTTTTTATTAAAAACTAATACAAAATAGATTATTGAATACACACACACATACCTTTATGCGCCTAAAGAATAAATTTTTTAATCAGTACTCACTCATTGAATATACATTATAAAGGCTGTTCAGTTCTATTAAGTGAGTATCAAACTGAAGCCCCAGTAAACAGGGGAAGGCCCGTTCTCGCGCATCAAGCCTATCACGCCCAGTCTGAGTGTAAATCCCACCTCCGGACCAATTACCATTCGAGATATGGATATATCATAGAGTCTTATCATGTGTTTGAAGTCCGATTCCTATTCCAAATACATAGTGGCAATGACTTCAACATATTAAGATAAATCTAAATGAAGACTTCCCAAGTAGTTTAAAAGTAGATTACACGGTGCGCTTACACAACTTGCTGGCTATAGAGAGTTTGTGTTGGAGTCTTATTTTAAATGATAGAGCATACGGACGTTAAACCTATGACACCTCTAGTGAGCTCGGACCGGTGCTGCAGGTGGGCGGCATAGGCAGGAATTTATTTCTCAATATGTTGAATGGAACGGACGCGCAAAATTTCGCCAAAGACGCAGAATTAAACAGCCACCTGCACCGAAACCGCGACTTATCGGACTTCAAAATGGGCATCCAAGACACGAGGTTTTATTATCAGGACTCGATTCCAAATGGACAGGACAGTTTGACGTTGCCGTTCCACGCCGAACACCACCAAAGCGCCGGAGCGCAGACGGGGAGGTTTTACTCACCGGCTCAGCTCGGCAGCTGTCACTTCACCAGCCGGAGCGGGACGGGACATACTTACGTTCCAGGCGGAGCCGATGCGTATTCTTCAGCCAACGGTAAAGACGCGTACCCGAGCAGCGCAGACGGCTACCCGGCGTCTTTTCAGCACGGGTTCCCGCGAGCACCGATGTACTCTTTACCTGGTCTACAGGTGTCCGGGAAGACGCAAGTGCTCCTCAACAACTACTCGCTGTGGGCAAAGTTCCACAAGTACCAGACAGAGATGATCATAACGAAACAGGGACGGTAAGAAGCCTTATGGATTGCCACTCTTTAATATATCATTAACATAAACGCCATTATCAAGGTAAAGTTTTTGTACGCGATAACAGCATGGATCATAATAAGAAACTGGTCAAATGCCCTATATGAATGTTTATTCCTCTTACTTATGTAATTATCTAAATGCCAGCTGTGCCAGCCAGGGCATGAAATCGAGTCCTTGACATATGTGTCTTAAATTTAGAAGCCTAATTACAGAGATCTTTCGATCTGATCTTTTTTTCTTCAGACCGCGACCTGGTTTCAGTTATTGTCAAAAGTAAACAAATACTGTAATTTGTCAAATTTTCTCACTGTACCTAGATGCACTTTGACACAAATCTTTGAAAGTGAATTACCTCATTGTCTGGATATTTTGGATATGTTATTTTTAAATACTGAGAATAATAACGGCAATGTTCTGAAAGAACGTGATGATCAAACTTAGTTATCGTGTTTAGTGTGAGTAATAATAATGATACAAATAATAAAAACGCACTGTTAATTGAAAATATTGTGATTTATAAACCACTGGTGGTGTTCCCTAGAGACCCCAGAGAGGGAGGAAAGTGCTTGTGGGGACGTTTGACAGGTCACCAAGCATTAATATCTAAACATGTCCCTGATGATTATAATCTACAGATGTGTAACACTTCCATTTTAGAGCTGCTTTCAAGGCATAAATTACATAGTCGTATGGATTTAAAATGTTGACTGATAAAACTACATAACTGTTTCTAGTAGGCCCTTATATGTCAGTTTGATAAAAAATATTTATCACAGATTCTTGCATATGCTCTAAACATGTCCCTGATGATTATAATCTACAGATGTGTAACACTTCTAAAACACTTTTAAAAAATAAAAAAAATTTAAAAAAACACATTTAAAAGAAAAATGAATAAAAACACTGATCACACCTGTCACCATAAAAATGATTCCTGTTAAAATGTATGAGAATTGACAGCATGCGAAACGCTTACACTTTAAGTCCATAGAGTTATTTTAAAAAAATATTCAGAAGACAAAAAATGAACACTTGTAGTCTGAGATTTACTCAGCATTTTCAGTATGTATACATGACATATTTATTAAATTAGATTTTAAGAAATAATATACATTTTAAATATGGTACTGAAAGCAGGTCTAACCTTGAAATGGAACGGTGAAAATGTTCTCTGTTCTCTCAATGTTTTTACCACCGACTGAATTTCACATAATACTGCTATACCAATATTATATTATAGCAGTAAAATCCTGCTCATGATATTGCTTAAAAAAATTCCCACTGATGTCATAGTCAACACTTATAACTTTCATTATTTTATTTTGTACTGTACTGTACTGTACTGTATGCACCACAAAAAAACGAACCCTTCGTAATAAGTTACAAATTTTAAAACAGAGATATGTATTTATTTTTTATTAACATTATTATTATTTGTAGTTTGGTAGCTTTTACGCAGATATGCGTGCATCTGTGTGTACAGTACAATTGTTTGTGAGGGTGTTAGTGTGTGAAGGCATGCTTTTGTAACCTGTAACCTACTGGTAGGTCCCTTGAAAACGTTTGCAAACCAACTTTACAGCTGTGCTCAAGGCATTCAGAATAAATACATTCAGAAAGACTGAAATTAAATGGCGCATATTATGTAGTTTATTAATGGTATACATTATTAAAGATGTTACATATACAATACTTCAAATCACCCTTGTATGTGCAAATAACAATTAAACTGACTATTGGAAGAATTGAATAGCTTGTAGATTATTTAATCTTTAGCTTAAGCAAGAAAACCTTGTTTGTTTTGATTCAGCATATTAATGATTACGTTTTTTGCCTCTGAATCCGGTTCGTTTCAAATCTAGTGAAGTTATCTTTTCACATACTGGAGATTGAGTCAGTTTATTTAAATACACATTATTTTTTTAATTACTATGTATTATACTATGTACTATGTATTATTACATTCTGGTTTGTACGGTTATTTTTATTGGTTCTCACTGCCAGTGAGTGTCAGAGCTCAGGTAATTCTGCCCAAGACAGGAAGTAAAAAAGTAAGGAGGAGGGGGTGGTGCATTTAAATTATTTCAAAGTTAATTCTTACCACATTAAAATAACAAAAATGTTAATTGTATAATAAAATAGCAAACCAAGTGGCATCTGTAAACACTGAACTAGCTTTTTTCTGAGCCATTTTTTCAATTACTTAAAGATGTCAAGGGGATTTTAGTGGATGTAGAAATATAAAATGTTTAATTATTATATAATAATACATTTTTAAGTGTGCTACTTATGCTTTTTGGGGCTACTCTATATAAGCATTTATAAAGATTTACAGCAAGAGCAACCCATGCAATATCAGTGCATCAGTTTTATTAATATTCTTGAGGTCGTCCAGGCTCTGCATAAAATGCAATCTCTCCCCCTGCACCACTCAAGGTCTCTCTGCTTGTAGCCTTTGAGCTTTCTTTCTTTCTTTTTTTCAACTAACAATCACTTCCTGTTCAGCTGTATATGGTAGCATGGAGTATGCAGTCTTGCTGCAAAAAGTCAGACATCAGAAGCAGCAAACTTGTTGAATCGTCTTCGCTCACTGCAGTACAGACTGATCGCTGTGTACATAATTCCAGCAGAATCCCATCAAGCAGCTCTGACAGAAACAGATGAGTTGTGACAGTAGCACATCAGTAGAACACCATCTAGATCAAAGGAATCGCGTGTAGCTGTGGTTGCTTGCTGCCTGCTCCATTTCCAGCCACTGTTTTTAAGCAGCCGTGTTACAAGCTCATCACTACAGTTATGATGGTTCTCCAACATCAGCAAATATATTGTGGTTTCTGAACGTAACCACATTCACATAATAGCTTACAATAACCATGTAAACATGCCATGCTTACTGTACATGTCAATCTGCTTCGGTCATGTTTGATATTTTACATTTATGTATAAAAAAAGTGAACACAAAAACAGCTAGCAGCCGCAGACTGGCGCGTTTTCAGTATCAAGACTAGGAGGATGACATAAACTGGACCTGAACTTCTGTCCTGGCGTATTAGTGACAGAAAGCCCTTCACCAGTCGATATCCAGACAGTGTTTTTTTTTTTTTTTTATGTCCCTTCCTGTCTTTTTTTTACTCTGCAGTGGTGTTGCCTTGATCACATCAAGCAGTTCTTCTGCTAAGGGGAAACACATATATGTATCGAAAACTGTACCTTCCTAAAGTCCTAGACAGCAGAGGAGGCATTTTTGTTTTGGCAACCACCTACTACCGTGTTCACGGCTCCATCACTGAGTCAAGGAGTGGCTGATAAGTTTCCAAAGGTTAACCTCTAACTTTTTGTCGTAAGCCTTAACCTCCCACTCATGCAAAACATTCCTCTCAGTGGTAAACCCACTGGTTTCCCCCTCTCCAGGTACTGATTTCTTATAAATGTCTCATTTTAAATAAGTATGACAATTTCTGAGGCTCAGTCAGATGAGGAAAGTGACTGCCACAGACGGTATAGTTATAACTCAGAGTGAGGAGGCAACGCATGAGCGTTGAATGATACAGAGACGATTCTGGTTTCTGTTTTCACTTATATTGACAACTGATGTGGAAGAAGAAACCCTTCACCTGCTCGGTCTCTTCACCACCACAAGGCCCCACAATGCCAGGGCTACATCTGAGAATGATGATTGATTACAGCTGCCCGTGGGTGGGCAGTTTGTCCGTTTGTGTTATGCCACCCTGTAGCAAATGAGTGTCATCATCCTCGTGCTCTGATCCTCGATAGGTGTCCTTTACCCTACTTGAAAAGAGAAATTGTGAAACTGAACTTATTTCAGGTCAAAGTATCTCTTAATTCTCTTTCAAAGCAGTCTCTTTTTTCATCCCTTTCCACTTTGTGAAGCAAGTGTAACACAAAATGAGATATTTAGTAGAATGTGCAAGCTGCGCTTTTGCATAAGATAAAAAGAGACTGTGGCTATGAGCTGTCAAATGTCAAAAATGACAAAAAAAGTACAAACAAATAACAATGTACAGTTATGCTTTTAAAAAAAACTTTCCCTCCATTGTAGTTGAAACATTTCACATCCATATCTCATGTGAATAATTAGCGTTTTTGGGTTTACTATTTCTTTAAATGACATACGTAATTGCCAAACTTTAACCCCAATGTTTGTTTTACTCATAATTATATGTTTTAACATTGTTTTATGGTTAGATTTACTAGTTTTGTTGCTTACACAGACTTCAAAAAATTGCTGTTTGTAAGATTTTTGAATGTTTTTGAAATAAGTTTCTTATGATCACCAATTAAGGCTGAATTTATTTGATCAAAAATGTAATAAAATAGAAATATTGTGAAATATTATTACAATTAAAAATAACTATTTTGTATTTTATTATATTTTAAAATGTAATTTATTCCTATGATGACAAAGCTGAATTTTCAGCAGCCATTACGGTCTTCAGTGTCACATGATCTTTAAGAAATCATTCTAATATGCTGATTTGGTGATCAGAAACATTTCTTATTATTATCGACGTTGATAGCTGTGATGCTTAATATGTTCTTTAATGAATGGAAAGTTAAAAAGAACAGCATTTTCTATTGATTTAAATATAAAATTTTTGTATCAGTGTAAAACTATTTACTGCCAATTTTGGTCACAATTTAATTAATTAAAAATGTATTTATTTAAAAAATCATAAACAAACAAAAACTTACTGACCCCAGACTTTTGTACGGTACATGTACATGTAATTTTGCTAATGTTAAAAAGTATTTCAAGATTATCAATCGTTTCTTATACATTAACCTACAATTTCCATATCCATGTACAAAGCCAAATTGTTTTGTTTTGTTTTTGTTTATATATATGTACATACAGTATATATATATGTAAGCAGAACTAATTCCAATAATCTGACCCCCATACGCTCTTCCCAATGGGAAAAAGGTGTACAGTTTCACTCATCAAGCATACAGGCACAGGAGACAGAGCAAGAGAGAGTGAGAGATTTTTATAAACATACTCACAAAATAAATCCATTCTGAGCCATATACAAATTATTTGGTGTGTATCCAATTCATGGAACTGATACAGACACAGATATGAGCAGACAACTGCACTTGAGTGTCACCTAACAGGAGCATCCGGCTGAGGGGAAACATACAAGCATGAGCAGTAGCCCGCAACTGTTAAATCTTTTGAATGAGAGGCAGCCATGTGGCACAGACGTCATCTCTAGAGTGTATTAGTGAGACTGAAAGCGTCATAATATTGGGTGAGGTTGAATTAAAGCCAGCATGGCTGATGTCAAAGGTTTGTTTTATCACAAGTGGTAGCAAGGCAGAAAGACACAGGAAAACAGAAGCAGCACATTTCATACTGGGTCTACTGAGTTTCTGGAAACTTTACACTGCCGTGGGACACACTGACCTCCCAGTTACCTCCACTCCATATCTGCACCGTGATCAAAATCTGTCTAGCAAGGAAAACTACAGCAATCAAGCATACATCTCCCAACATGTTTTATTAATTGTCATATTAAAGATTCACACACAGCCTGCTCCCAGTTGCCTTTCTATCATAATGTCTGTACCATCGTAACTATTGCTTACCACCAAATACCACCCGTATATACAAGCAAATTCAAATAAGCATGTGTAGATGCATGTTATATGGGGAGCATATCAAATATGAATGAATTTCATTTATTGTATTGGGTGATTTTTGACATTTGTTTTAAACCATTTCTGCATATTTTTAGATTGCTATCATCTAGCATGACCTTAGCATAAAGGATAGCGTAAGATTGTGGCATATGTTTATTTGTTTTTAAGACAACTATTTCTTAAAGAGAGGGGTGTCACCCAGTTGTAACAAAATTTCCTTTCACAAACTTTCAGAATGAATATTTGACAAAAAAAAATACATTGCATTAATTAATACATATTATAGTTATTATATATTATATTATTATAGTTATTTCATATAGTTATATTTTCATTTATACTGTATACTCAATTACCTGTAACCAAAAACCTTTATTATAATAAGAAATATTTTAAAGTAAACATTTACTTTCACAAACATCAAAATGAATATTATTTTTTAAAAATGAATATCTATCAGTGAATATAAAAAAAAAATCCAAAAATATTTTACATCGATTTGACTTTGACAAAAAGTATTTATTATAGTTATTTTATATATAATTATGATTTAATTTATATTTGTATTAATGTATTTATTTGTTTTAGACAAAATCTACATTTAAAAAAAGTATAAATTTATAACAAAAATCTTATCTTGTGTTTTCTGGTCTGTTTGTCAACAGGAGGATGTTCCCTGTCCTCAGCTTTAACATCAACTCACTGGACCCCTCAGCTCATTATAACATATACGTGGATGTGGTTCTTGCTGACCAGCATCACTGGAGGTACCAAGGAGGCAAATGGGTCCAGTGCGGCAAGGCAGAAGGCAACATGCCAGGTACCCGACAGTCACATGGTGCCTTTTTCTGCACACTATCTACTTTTAAACCCTACAAACAAGATAAATATCTTTATCTCCATTGTGGTTTTCAAGTGTGAGTCTTTTCTGAGCAGTGCAAAAAACTTCACATACCAATAACTCTGTCTTTTTGTGGCTAGAAGTGCATGAGTGTTTCTGATACCACTGTATGCCACAATCAGAGGAACCTAAGCATGTGGCCCACCACAACAGCTCTGCACTGCAACTAATGTTCAAGGGTGACTGCATGGTATAGTGCAAGTGTGCATTTGACAGAGCACTCTTAATTGGCTAATACCAATCAATTTACAAAGTACAATCATTTTAATTGGACATACTCATACTTCTGCCTATTATAACCTAGACTTTCTCTACCTAAACTCCTGACATTTCCTTACCTAAAATTTGCACTTTTATAATTATATAATATTATAAAAAATTATAGAATATACAAATATGAAAAATGTGAATAAAAAATAAGCAAATGTAAAAAAAAAAATAATAATAATAATTTTAAAAATATATATATAATATACACTACCATTCAAAATGTTTGGGTCAGTAAGAGTTTTTAAATTAATATTATTCAGCAAGGATGCATTAAATTGATCAAAAGTGACAGCAAAGACTCTTAATAAGAAGATCGTTACAAAACTTTTTGTTTCAAATAAATGCTGTTCTTTTGAATGTTCTATTCATCAAAGAAACCTAAAAAATGTATAATAGCATCCACAAAAATATTAAGCAGCACAACTGTTATTCAGTTATTCAGCTTCAGGAATAAATTACATTTTAAAATATATTAGAATAGAAAATAATAACAAAAAAGAAGCAACAATTTTATTATTTTAATTTGTAATGATATTTCACATTACTTTTTTACTGTATTTTTATTTGAAAAAATGCAGCCTTGGTGAGCATAAGAGACTTCTTTCAAAAACGGACCCCAAACCTAAACGGTATTTTAAATGGTGTATATCAATAAAATACTGTGTCAAAGACATGGATATTTAAATTGCATTCAGTACCTATATATTTATGCTTTTTTTACAGGAAACAGAATGTATATGCACCCAGACTCTCCCAACACTGGGAATCACTGGATGAGACAGGAAGTTTCCTTTGGCAAACTGAAACTTACCAACAACAAAGGCAGCTCTAACAATGTAGCACAGGTAATATACTAATAAACTCCTACAGTAAAGCAGTCTTACTGCATCAGACCTGAGTCATCTGTGTTGACATTGGTTGTAGTCAAACAGAGATTACGTTTACCATTTAGGTTGAATATATAACACTATAGCATATCTGCACTATTTCTCTGACAATTTCATTGCTTGGAAAACAGATGATAGTGCTGCAGTCGCTCCATAAATACCAACCACGTCTTCACATCGTGGAGGTGAAAGAGGATGGAACGGAGGACCCCTTTCTGACCTCGAAAACTCAGACGTTTGTCTTCCCTGAGACTCAGTTCATTGCCGTCACTGCCTACCAGAATGCAGATGTAAGTCATGTCATCTGAACGCATCATGCAGTGGGTTATTTTCTTGGTAATCAGATTGCATTTGCCACATAACCACTGCTTACAGCAAACAAAGATTCATGTCCTCACAGTGTGGGATGTGTTATGTCTGCACTTTGAGTCTCTGATGTTTGTAAAGTGTTGTGCATGTGCTGAAGAAGTCTGATTGTAGGAAAGAGTATGAGTGTAATTCATAAATTATTTCGTAATGGCAGTGATCTATCGGTCTCCCTGCCTATGCTTCCTGTGCCCATGTGACTTTACTCTTACCCTCTCTCTCTGCCCTTTCTCCAACCTCTTCCCCTGACATTTCTTTCACAGATCACTCAGCTGAAAATAGATCATAACCCTTTTGCTAAAGGTTTCCGGGACAATTATGACACGTAAGTAATCTATCTATCTATCTATCTATCTATCTGTCTGTCTGTCTATCTGTCTGTTTACAGTATTTGTCTATTTGTCTATAAGCCTTCAAACTTCAAGACTTCCAACATTCAATCCCATTTGCTACCTAAATTCAAATTCAATTAAGATTCAGGAACTGCATTCTCAGTTTAATTAATAGTGCAATATTATTAACATGAACATGTTAACATTTCAGAAGGGGTTTTGTCAGTTGAAGTTGACCTTTGACCCTCTATTTTCTCATGTAGGCTGTACGCACCTCTTGACTCAGACCGCTTTACGCCTTCCCCAACCGAGAGCCAGCAGCTCCTCCCAGGCAGTTGTTACCCTCACCAGCCGTACCTGTCTGATCAGTACATGAGCCCCCTGCCTCAGAATCGTTTCTACAGCCGCGAGCCGGTCAGCATGACCCAGCAGTGCCCCAAAGACCCTACCGCCAGCCCTCACAGCCGCTTTTACCTGCCCAGCCAGCAGGGGGTGCCGCCGAACCGCCTTGACTTCAACGCGTACGAGAGCGAATACACTTCCAACAGCCTCTACAAGCCGTTTCCGATTCAGACGTCCCCACACCACCCTCTGGGCTACTACTCTGAAAGCCCCTTCGCGTCCGGGACGGTTTCTGGTGCCAACACAGGAGCGTGGAGCTCAGGACGGCCCTCACCGCAGTATCTTAATCACCTACACCACAGTAAACCTGGGTCTAGTCTCGGCTGGTTCCGAACCATCTCGTCCCCAGCTGCATCTTCATCTCCCTCAGCAGTGAACTCGCGCTTCCATTCCTCCCCATCACTCCTGGATCCCCAGCACCAGCCTCTGCTCCAAGACAAGTCCAAAGAGTCCGGGGAGGACGCCTGGATTGAAGCCCCCTCGGTTAAATCGGTGGACTCAGCTGACTCAGGTTTGTTCGAGGGAGGAGAGAGCAAGAAGAGGCGCGTGTCGCCTTATACGTCCAGCACGGAAAATTCCCCTCCCAACCGCAGCGCAGAGGTTTGCGAAAAGGACAATTGCAGCGACGCGGGCTACTACGGCTTCTACACCCACTGAAGACCAGCACTCAGACTGTACTCCTGCTGTCTTCCACCCACCGTCTGTCTGCATGTCCCGAGACACAGGGATAAAGCTCTCTGTGATAGTAGCTACAGTGCCAGGTCTTAGGTGGCCCCTCTGTGCTTTGTATTCCCTGTGTTAGATGTTTGGGGGTTATGTGGAGGTGTTCTGAAGGTCACTGTCACACAAAAGACGAAGACGATGTGACTGCGCTGAGACACTGGCCTGGAGATACACAGACAGGCAGACCTGTGTGACTTTAGCAGCTGAAGATTTCACAGCACACCTGCTGACACTCCCCCAAAGGAACTGTCTCTGTCCCCCTCGTCAGCCACAGACATGAAAACACCTCACAAAAACCCACACGCACGCTCAAACAAACAATCAAATCCTTTTCGTCACATTTACATCTGTCTTTAAAAATGTGGACTTAGAGGCATAGTTCACCCAAAAAAGAAAAGTCCATCATCATTTACTCTCCCTCATGTCATGATCATTTCAAACCCGTTTGACTTTTTGTCTGTAACACAAAGACATTTTTTAAGAAATTACAACAAAGTGCTTTCAAGCTTCAAGGATGCAAAATCACTATAAAAATAGTTCATACAACTCATGTGCTGCATGTCAAGTCATCTAAAGCTTATTGATAGCTTTGGATGAGAAAAGACATGGAATTTGAGTCTGATATCATCTGATTCTGACAATCATCTGACATTGCTTGTTCTTTCATGAACACACCAAAGAAAATGTGTTTCTCACCTAAAGCTATTGTACACAGAAAATATATACATCCTATTTTCACTCTGAAATTGTGAATTTCACAAATAATTACAAAGAAGCAACAAGTAACAGATTGAACTAAACATGAAATTCTTAAGTAGAAAGACTGAAATTGTATTCATAACTTCAAAAAAATTTTTTTATTTTTTTTACAGTGTATAGCTGCAGAAAACTTGGAGTATTGCGCACAAATCCTTTAAGTGGTCTCTAAATGACACGAAATTGACTTGCTCAAGATGTGATGCATGCATCAATGTTTAAAATATTACAAAAAAAATTAAAATGTAGTTCTTTTTAACTTTCTATCCATCAAAGAATTCTATTGTGGTTTCCACAAATATTATTAAGCAGCACAACTGTTTTCAACATGATAAGAAATGTTTCTCGAGCAGCAAATCAGCATATTAGAATGATTTCTAAAGGATTATGAGACATTCAAGACTGAAGTATGGCTGCTGAAAATTAAAAACAATTAAATATTGTAAATATTACAAAAATCTTTAAACAAATAGTGCACTGCTTCAGATAAACACAAAAAACAGTCAAAGAGAGACAGGTGAAGGTTAATCAATTTAAAATTAAAATGCAAAACTGAACCTTGAGAGCTATAGTAATTCTTTCCTGATCTCTCTACATTTTTATAGTTCTATAGTTTTACTTTTCGTACTGTAAACGTAAAACCGGCAACTCAGGTTTCATTTAGCTAAAATCCACGAGTTAGGATAAACACACTAGTGTCAATCTGATGACCTGTAACAGGACATACTTAAACCAACAGCATCATGTCTTGAGGCATCGCACATGACGGTATACAGATAGACAGGGTGGAAAAATGGACTATATATATATATATATATAATCTTTTCTGTTCAAACAACAGCGTAACATGCAGATAGCTCACACACAGACGTCAGTGACACAGAGGAAGAATCAGGCACCGCTGGCATTCAAAGGTGAGAATGACCTCAGACAGATAAGTGGGTGACAAGATGCCACTGCAGAAGACAGTAAACTAACTTCTGGGACACACCGGAAGCCTGTGAGCTCAGAACTGTCAATTTATAGAAGCTTCCTGCATCTTTCAGATCACAAATATGCACACAGACATATGCATATGATCTGTGTCCTAACATGAAACCACCTTTATTTACATTACTTGTAAAATAGAACAATTAATTAAAGTGATGATTCTTCAATATTCTGTGGCCAGCTCTGTGATCACAGTTTTTTTTTTTAAATGTCAGCAAACTGACTCAAACTGCCTCCGTTTATTTTACATATATGTATTTTGATGCAAAACCAAATGAAACAAGAGTAATATGGTTAAGACTGTATTATTTTAAAATGCCATTACTGGATTAGAAAGCCATTGCCAGATATTGCCAGATGCTTAGTTGTTTAAAATATACAATGTAATGTAGATGCTGGGAAATTTGTAATATTCTACAAATGTAATAATTTGAATTTATTAATTTGCTTACAGGTTTATTAATGTTAGTTATTAAGAAGTTGACTGATAAACAAAAAGCAAATGGCTGCAAGAGAAAGCGGCAATATTATTTAACTGACAATCAATGTTACAGAACAAAAAAAAAATTAAAGTGCAATTAAAGTGTTTCTATGTTAATTTAAAAGATGTGTAATTAATGTTCATGTTTGGTTTCTTTTTATACACTGAAATGCACTGACACATTTGTTACTGTTGATGTGCACTGAAAATAATGAACAAATTGTCTGTTGTTGTCATGTTAGCAATCAATCCATGTTTTGGCTGACCCCTGGTGGACATTATGCTCCTCATATCCTCAAGTGTCAATAGCAGGTCTTTTAAGGAACCTATATAGGTTATTATCTCTGGCACTATCCTTGTCTATCTGTTGAATTAAAAGCAACAATTTAAGTAATGTTACTAACAATAAAAGAGGTGCTTCTGTAGTAAGTTTCCTCAGCCAAGCAAACTGAGCCTCGGACACAGCTGTCAAAATACTGTATATAATATTAAATGATGTTTTTGATTAATTCTAAATGTAATAAAGACTGAACTATACAAATTCGTTTATTTTTCTATTCTTTAATATTGTACAGTTTATTGCTGTTTTAAATAACTATACAAGTCATGACTTGCAAGTTTATTATTTGAACATTTGTACACTGATTTTTTCATCCAGGCCTACACAAAATGGTTGTTTCTGATATCACATTTTATATAGGGTTTAAACTGTGCGCTTAATTCATACTTAAATGCCAATAAACATAATATCATTGTCTAAAATCAAAATATGATATTTGGTTTATAAAAAAAATAAGATGTGCAATGCAAGAGTGCTTTGGACACATTTCAGAAACCAAAGAGGGCCCAAATTAGAGTTAATTAATTTACTGCTCAATCCTGATCAGGTTGAGACATGGCTTTGCAAGAGAAATAATGGTCCTTTTATAAACTTGTGAGTTAACGGAAGAAAAAGTTAGTTAATGAGACCTCTGAATATTACATGTGGTTACATATATTATTATTTTTTTTATCCATACTCTTGTTGTTTCCACAAGCATATAAGTACTTATATAAAGTGAAAAGTAATTTTACATTGTCCATAGAAATGTGTGTGTGCAATTGTTAAAACTAAACATCTCCAGAACTCGCATACGTTTTCTTTTACCTTTTGGCTTATATTTTATCCAAAGTGGAAGACAAGGTCAAACTGTCCACCAAGTTTCTGTGTCCTCAACCAACGAAATAAATAGAAATGTTCAAAATGTATCCCTCCTCTTGCTGTTTGGTAAAGGCATCATCCTTGCTCAACGGATTCGGTTTAGTTCAAAAACCCTTGGCAATTCATCGTTGCTCCCAAAAGCTCCAAGTTTGTATAGTCTTTCAAAAGCTGAATTTATCACAGGCATTAAGTGTCCACAGTGTTGCTTCAATCTGCCTTCTTCACCATAATTCCAGGTTTTTGACATTGACAAACCCAGGATTCTCCCTAATCTTCCAATACGTTCCATTGTAAAGCCAAACTTCCCTTCCAGCAGCATCCAAAGTTTTCCTGTAAGATGGGAACATTTTAACATTCCAACTCTAATTCTTATGAATAAATCAGTTGTGGGATTGATGTCAACTCACCTGAAGAAGCGAGGGATATGCTCCTCTCCTCTCTTGGCAAGAATTTTCCTCCATTCTCTTTGATTTTCCTCCACTTCATCCTTCTTTTTATCGGTCTGCTCTATTTTCCCCTCCTCGAGAAGCCTAACAGTACCAACACAGAGCAAACTTAAAACAGATGATCTAAAAGAAGAGTTTCATGGACTTGCTAATCCATGAAATTGCTAAATAATTCTGGCTCCAGTGTCTGTCTATTTATCATTGTCTATTAGGAAGGTCTCACCTTTGGTCAGGGCGCAAGCGTGTATCTGTAGGGGGAAGCAAGGGCTTAAGGTCAGGGGTCAGCTCATTCATCTCGATTGCAAAACTAGAGAAGCCATAGTAAAGCATGTAGTTCTTGGGCTGTGGATCTGTAAGGAAGCACAGACATTCTGACAACATCTGCCAACACAAAGGTACATCTCTCATTTATTTGTTTTGTCAGACAGAACAGCCACAAAATCAGAATGGACCCCATACAGACCCAATACATTCCTGGTCTTATTGTGAACAATGGACCCTTTTCACAGACTGTGATGGCGTTTCCAGAGTTAATAACATTGTGTGTTCCACAGTTATTAGTTTATTAGTTAAATCTAGTTTATATATATATATATATATTTGTTATAGGGGCAAATGGGGATACAAAAATTATATTTGTTGTGGTTTCTGTTCACCGCTATAGAAGTTTACCCAACTATTGATGTCTTCAACCGCTAAGAACCCTCAAAATGTGAAAAGTGTCCATGGCAGCGGGAGTTATTACATTGCTGACTAATATCCAAATAGGTATTTAGCATTTTCTAAGCAAATACATTAGTTCTAGATAATTCCCAATGGATAAAATAACATTTCCTTTAATATTCTGTTTCACACAGAAATACATCACATTACAAAAGTAAGTTGGGTTGCAAACAGCATTTCATGTTGACTTGAAAAATGACAACAGTATCCAATAAAATAGAGGAAAGATGACTACTCACTTGGCTTCCAGATACACTGTGGATTTGGAAGGGTGTCACAGAAGATCCCTTCATGCCAAAATCCACCGAAACGATGGACGACATTACCAGTCTCATCAAGAACTTGACCCTGCACTTCATTTTTGGAACCATCTGAACCCCAGTAACGTGACTGAGAGAGGGAAAAAAACATTTTCTGCATTTGTACTTCATAAGACTTCATCTATATGTACTCAAAATGAAGCAAATGACAACAAAATTTGCAATCAAAACTGAACACACCTTGACAAATGTAATCTTACAGGTGCAGACCGAACTTTTCAAGTTGCGAATAATGACTTCGCCGTAGTGCTCGAGGTATCGCTGCTGACTGAGGACATTGTGGATGCACGTCACCACTTTGTTCCATTCATAGTGCTCCCCGTATCTACAAGTAAGGTATATCAAAGACCAAAGATCAGAATTCTTCTTAAACATTGGAATTAAAATTCCATTGACACCAAAACAGATACTTGCTTTTTTAGAGTCACATTCACCATCCCTGTTGGCATGATCTCCAAAGATTTGCCCCAAAACTTGTTCTTCCATCTCTGGTCTGCTCTCAGCATGCAGGGTTAAAAAAGGAATGAGATTCAAATGCAAACATACAGTTCATCATGAGATCACACAGACTTTAAAACATACCCTGCCAGAAGTTGAAATTGTCTGATTCTGCATGACATGCAGATATTGGTGGATGATGGGAAACCTGACGGCAAACACAAAACCACAGAGTAAAAACAACTGCTTGATAGCAAACGTATCTGATGCATAATCAGATGTGATTATTAATTACCTGTTCACTAATGTAGCGGAAGCCTCTGTCCTCTCTGATACACTCAAATGTCTCTCCCAGGACTGGATTAAAAGGTTTGTAACGGTTGCGATACTGAGCCGTGGCATAGCCAGATATGGCAAAAGCAGCAATATAAACCTTTACAGAGACAAAACAAACTGTTTTTAA